TCTCATCCTCTCTTCAAATGCTCTTTGGAGAAAGTTTGTCAAACTAGATCAGGGACGTTTGAAACTTGTTTATAAAACCATGAGTGAAGGAAGGAGGAGGAGGAATGTCGTACACCTAAGTCTTCTGAGATGCCTTCAATCAGCCCGACTGGGTGGTACAGCTTTTTTCCCCTCTTCTCTTCTTCAGAGTTGTAGCGAGTGCTGTAAGATGCCAGCTTTTTTGACACTTTGCTCTTGAAAGGATGAGAGGGGTGGAGGGAGGGAAGAAGGGGAATGTTGTATGAGAGAGGAAATACAAGGAGAAAACGGAAACAGTTGCTGTTTCTGCTCAAAAAAAACGGTGCTGGGTCAAGGCCTTTTTCTTCAGGGGATGCGTTCACAAATCGTTTGCTAACTGTTCGGTTCCACAAAACAAGGTTGGGTTTGTGTATCTCCTTCGTCTTGCCCGAGATGTACAATGTCCTGGTATGGCTTTCATCCTCAGTAAAAACACAGATGCTCTGGGATAGTCTGCATGCAGCGTTCTGCTATCTACTGAGGAGCAGACAGATGCCATTTCCACACTCTGACAAGAAGTTAATTTACTCTAGTCTGCCCAGATAGTAAGGACGGACCAAGACTTAGGCTAAAATCGAATCTCTGACATGAAGAAAAAGTTATTCTCATAGTTTTAGAGGAGGGTAGTTCCAAATACAGAGTCAGTAAAGAGATTTGAAATTCCTAATATAGATATATTAAGTACATGAGAATCAGGGACAGAAGACAGGAATAGCTGAAATAGTAGCTTTATCATTATGGAACACTGTTGGTCCCTTGGTGTTTTTCAGCCTGTAGCAACATACTGAAAGTCAAACTACAGAAGTGGTCCCCTTTAAACTACTAAGGCTCACTAGCTTGCTCTTTTTGAGCTTTGAAAAGCGATCTGATAAGATAGGCTATGGCCTACTAAATCACAGGCTGAGAGTTCAAGCTCCATCTCAGAGGATCCACAGATTAGAAAGACTGCATCATTATGGCACTGGAAAGCAAAAAGGTTCTGTTCCCCAGTCGGGGGCTTGTGACCATTAGAGTGTGACTGCTTGATTCTAACACACATCTATCCTGCTGCGACTGCTGCCAACAGCCCCTCAGGTCAGGTACCAAGGGGGTAGTTTGAAAACAGAATGCAAACCACACACTTACACACAAAATCTAAAAGAAAGAAGTCAGTATCTGCTGTAATCACATGACCTGGGCCTATTTGCTAAGTGTGACTCATCAGTCGCCATTTAATTGAATTTCCAAATAAAGGCCCAGCCCTCATAATGCATAGCTCTGAGCAGGGATTAGTGGGACTTTGCTGCTCTGACGAGACATTTTCCACAACTCACCCATATGCAAACACACCGTGTAAGCTAAGTGACTCAAAGCAATGGCATCGTGCAGGGAAGTTTCTCAGCTGCCACTCACTGTTCCATAGCAGTCAGCATTCTTTATCAATGCAGTCGGTAGCTTAGCAGAAGGATGAGGCTGGTGTGAAGGCTGAGCTGTTCGTTAAGCCACCGCCAGCTTAATGACATGTGGCATGTATAATGCTTTACACCTGGATGAATTTTCAACTAGGTTTTGGGGATTAAAGGGAAGCGATGTCACTGTGATTTCTGAGACTGAGCCTAGACAGCCACACAATAATGGGGTTGGACAAGGTTTCCATGGCTCTACAGGAAAGATTGATGTGACTATTGAGAATAATATGGTTCAGGTGGGACTGGTGACTTGGGTCTGTGTGTGGTTACAGCTGTATCGTGTGGAATTCAGAGCTCCTGAAATCCACCTAACACTCTTTTAATTGCTAGTGGTGACTCGAGACACATGATCAACAAGGACATGTTAAATGATAAAGACTCAAAAGAAAAAGGGGCTTTTCAATAGCATGTCATAAACCACAGACCTATTATGATTCCCCTTTTACAGGGACAATATAGTCAAAAGGGAATTCCCAAAACCCTACCCTGGGAAAATAGAGAAGCATTGGGATAATGCAGCAGAGTTCAGAGGGTGTCCTGATGGTGAATGAAAAGCAACTACGATTCATGCTGAAGAGACATGAATGTATGTAGTAAATTTTAACAGCAATTCGTTCTAATAAAAAAGTAGCCTCTGTAACAAAAAAGCAAAAGATTAGCTAGAGTGGACAAACAGTACAAGTTTAAGCATCATGGGGAGTAAAAACCTCACTTCTCTACCATTTCGAAATACAAAACTATCATTAACTACGTATATAAGATGAACATTATAAACAGACAAAAGTTGAGATGGTTGTTACATATGGTCCTCTGAGATGTGATATATGTATATTCCCACCACACACAGCTGCATGGTGCCAGTCCACTTAGTCTGAGGCAGGATCAATCAGCATGAGACGCTGCTTTAATGTTTTTACATTGGTGATGCTACTCTCAACAGCATGAGATGCTGCTTTAATGTTTTTACATTGGTGATGCTACTCTCAACATCAGTCGACAGGTTCACTGCCTGACTGGGTGGATTCACATGTGCATATCCACACATGTGAATCTGTTACATCCGTCATAATCTTTGTTATAACAATATGCAAGACCATTCTTGTGCATCATGTGTCTTCCTTTCCCTTTCTTTCTGCTCTTTTCCCCTCCAGGCTCTGCCCTCTCCCAGTGAAGCCGACCTCACTGACTGGAGCACATTTCCCTAGCAGTCATGAAAAGCCACAGCTATTACAGCCAAGTCATGCTCAGTTTTATATTTAACAGTGCGAGTAAAGGCGAATGGTGGGGGGGATAAGTGGTGTTTCGGGAGAGGCAGGAGGTGCACGGGGGACTTCAAAGCATGTTTTCAGAATGGGATTTTCAGCTTAAATCCACATAAGGAAAAAACTGTCATCACTGGGAGCCAGCATTATTTTTGTCTTCTAAGAGGAACGCTTTCCTCGGCCATTTCAACAATACACACTATGCACAAGAATGTATGTACATGGCTGTGGGGGCGTCTAATGCCATAAAGTAGTGAAGGCAGCTTCATCCCCTATGTGTTCAACACTTGCTACTGTACAAATACTGAGTGTACTGAATGGTGAGTAGCGGGGATTTTAGGATTACTGGAACGACTACAAAGGGCAGTCTCTCATCGTGTACTGCCTTTGGATATGCAAAAAGATGGCATCAGACTTAACAAAGAAATCTGATATTTATCACAGAAAGAAGCTTTTACGTACTGTTGTGATTTGCTAAGAGCTTTCACTGGGGTGCATACCTCCTTGCTCTGTAGTTGAGGGCCCTGATCATCAGCCAAGGTGCTGTCCCTCCCAAAGCTCGACTTGAAAATCTACAGAGCAACAAGTGGAAAGAGATTAGTTGAAAGGGTCACCGTAAAGTTCGACAACATTTTTGTCTATGTAACAATATATAAGCCACAGTGGACCCCCTGACAACTTACCGGGGACAAGGGAATAGGCTTTTCTCGCAAATACCTGGGATTTTCAATCTGAAACAGCAAAGAGAAAACTTTAGTCCTCTCTTCCTCTTCTAATAAAGCCTTGCTACTACTAGAATCAAACCTCCACCCTCAGTCTGTCATAAACAATGCGGTGAGCACATCAAAAGCCTGGTTCTGTGGCTTGAGTCTCTTCCATCAATTCTTGTCTGTTTAGAAAGAAAGAATGCGTCAGGCTACTTCAAGGCATTGTGTGTGCGGCTGGATCGGTTTCCGCTCTTAGGTCCTCTTTGCTGTCCTGACACGGTTGTTTTGTTAATACTCAGGACCACTAATCTGTAAGCTATATCCAGATCATTTACTTCCATACTGAGAAAAAAGTGCACAACTACTCACACAATATGTTATTTGATTACATTAAGAAACAAAGTAAAACATACATGCAAGCCCCTAAACCACCTGAAAGTAAAAGGGTCACAGTCCAAGTGAATCTGCAGCATTACATGAATGCAGCTCACTAACTGTGACACAAACTGCAAAAAAATCTGCTGACGATCTGCTATTTTTCTTCCGCTATTTGACATTTGTTTACGATCACATTACTTTCTTGTGAACTCACACTATCATACAGTGTTTCTTTCTCTCTCATGCACTGGGGCTGTCTGTGTGGGCTGCCAACTAGCAAGAAGATCATGGCCTTTCAAAGAAAAATAGCTGACTTTGGAGACGGCAGCAATGACGCCAGTAAACTGTTGTTAATCTCTTCAACATGGTGACAAAGAAGAGCAAGGGGGAAGAGAGAGGAGGGTGTAGAGCACAGAACTCGGTGGCAAAAAAAAAGAAGAATTTAAGGTTGTGAGGTGGTACAACACACATTTGGCTAAACCAGAATGAATGGGAACCTTGGAACTAACATTGTTGGATCTACCTTATGAGGATAATGTCAGTGCGTTGTTTCGGCGTGAGCTAGTGGCAGGTGAAATAGATGAAAGTAGCTCTGCCTCCTGACTCGGTCTGTGTGATGCAGGTAAAATCAAGTCAGACATTTTGTTAGCTGACAAACTGTAAGCCCTCAATAAAATAAGACACCCTGCTAGACTACTATCAGACTTTGTGTTCAGCATACACACACAGAAAGACACATGCACAATAACAGACCTCTCAATACAGTCAGAGCAGCATCAGTGGTGAGTGCCATGATGTGATGAATTGCTAGTTAAATTTGGCACTGGCTAAGAAAAAATAAATCCACATTTATCAAATGATGAATCAATCAGTATCCTTCTAAGCTTGTGTCCAGGCTGAAAACTAGAATGGGATTTCTTTTTATACCCGAAGACAGCCAGTCATCAAATTTGATTGAGCACAGCCCACAGGGCAAGGAGACATGTAGACTAAATGCTGTGGTGTAATGTTGGCACAGTGTGATACTAAATTTGGACTTGCTGCACACGTGTATGCCTGTGCCCATTTGTGTGTGTGTTCATTTGCTCTTCTCTGCATGTCCACTCACATGCTCCTGTGAGCACATGTTTGTCCGGCCTCACAGCTGGCACAGCGTCCTGTGTGATTGGAACCTGACGTGGATGGATGGACGGATGCAAAAGAGAAATGACATTCCAAATCACAAGGCCTGGATTTCTAGCCAAACAAACATACGGTGATTGATGCCTCTCATTTCGGACTAGTGTTGAGCAAGCCGTCAGCACGTCCATCTAACCACAGACAATGGAAGGCTAAGTGGTAGTGACTACCATTTAATTTCCTATAGTATGAACAAAAAGCTTTTTTAAGCAATTTTCTCTTGTTTGGATATCTTTTCTTACTTTACAGGCAGGTCCAGGTATGCAATTAGTGATCAAACTCTGACAAGTTACTGCTACACAACCCACAGATTGAAAGATGAAACAGATGGTGGTCCAGCTCACTCAGGGTTTGTGCATCTTAAAGGGACTTTTTTCTACCTGAGCCTGAAGCAATATGCCATCTACTGTCCCGTATGGCCACTGTACTGACTACAGACTTTATAACAGAGGTGAAACGAACAAACAAACACGAACTGTTTCAGAACATCTGAAGCAAAATTAAAGATGTGCTAGATAGAGGGATAATCGGTTGTGCTGAAATTTCATAGGAGCTGGCCGCTTTGAAGCAGTGCATCTATAAAACTTTTGTAAACTTGAAGGGGTTTTTGTGTGTGTGTGTGTGTAAGGGAACATCTGTTGATTTGAAAGATGCAGGCTTGGGGGAGCACTGCCAAGCAATACATCTTATCAGCATCTCAACACAGAGGAGTGGAGCAGTGCATGGCTTCTCGTCTGCTGATAGATACCTCAGATTACCCTAGTACTGAAAGAGAGAGGGAGAGCAATGCGGTGAGCATCAGCAAAAGCAGGATGAACAGAGAGAGGGTGAAAAATAACATGGCAGAAGAGAGAGAGAACAGCTAGAGAAGAGAGGAAAAACAGAGAGGGGCAGCAAACATCGATGTGTACATAATGTGGGAGAAATGACAGAGGCAACAAGCAAATGGAAAAAGAAAAACAGAGGCTCAGGGTTATACAGGTGAAGAGATGGGGAATAAAAGACATGAGGGTTGAGTGCTTATCCAGTCTTGGCCCGGTGCACTCCAGACAGTGAAGATAAGAAAGGTGCACTCATCTTCAAATGCTCAGTTTACACAACCCATTCCTCATCTGACCCTCACATCCTGCAACAGCACCGAGCTGCCTAACGGAAGTGGTTTCAAGCAGACATAGGTGAAAGGGATTTGTTTTACCCTTTTCTCAGCAGTGTGAACAACACAGCTAATGCAGCTTCTTTGCACAGTTGCTATAGTTTTGCTCGTGAGCTCAGATATTCATAAATGCTGTCACTATTTGGTGAACTGCATTAGTTGACAGCTGCTTGTAACCAAGAAGCTCAAGGCACGCCTCTGGACGCACCCCGAGGTTCCAGCTGTTGAGACGAGCCTCCAGGTCACTGTCATCGGGAAACAAATCAGCCTTCGGCCCCTCATACACCTGAGGAGGGAAAAGGGAGTGAAAGAATGTGTAAACAAGTAGAAACACAATGAACGTTGGGGCGGGGTGTGGTGATATAAATTGGAGGAGGGAATTTAAATGATTTCTGACAGTGTTTTAACTGGCAGGTTGGCCTGAGGAAGAGAACAGCAAAAAGTGATGGAGGTTATCATTTTGACACAAAATAATTCTCCTCTTGGCAACAACAAAAGGGTTCTTTCAAAGCTTACAGATGTAGTGTACAGATATACACCCACATGGTCTCCTCCCACACTAACAGTGTTTTACTCCCTTGTTATCTGCAGCTCTCCACCCTTTTCTCACTCACTCTCCTCCCTTTCACATACAGTACTCCAGATGTTTGGCAGTTCCACATCATTTCTGTCACGCAGTGAATTCCACAAAAAGGGCATATACAGCAACGCTGCCTGTCATTCTTCTTTTCCACAGGCTTTTGTTACAGGGGGCCTCCGGATTTGTTTTATACAGTATAATTCGGACGCTTCCAGGGGTTCTGTTGATACAAGATCAGTTTACTCAAGTTTAGGTTGGGCAGCAAGTTTGAAATAGAGGAAATATCCAATAGAGTTGAGAGAATGTTAGACAAAGGAGCGATGTTGTTGAATCTGATTAGGATCTGATGGAGTGTGGACCTTAGCGGAACTGCGCTGACACAGAGCCACTGCTGAATGGAATAGCTCTGAATTAAATGCTCCTTCAGATTAAAAGGCATTAAGGTCCCGGAGCCCAACTCTCGAACAGTTTCATTTCAATATCTAGGAATGTTGAGTATGCGGGTCACTGGCTGTTCAAAGCATCGTGCCACTGTCGCAACAGGAATTCAATGTATTGTGCTCAACGCTGATAAGTATGAATGGCCTCAAATAGTTTTGGCCACAGAAGTACAGTATAAGCAGTTGTGCAAATGAACAGTACAGTGGCTCATACCATGAAAATAAACATTCAGTGGCCACTGCATCTTGTTATGTTCTGGTTTGGTGACGTCAGAAATCTGTCAGTATAATTACATTATATGTTTATTAATGAGATTATAGTTAAAAGTGGTGTTGTACCGGACTACATTATATTGAAAGGCGTTTTTAATTTTTGGCCTTCCTATTTACTGTACATACATGAAGTGGGCAGAAGGCAAAAAACCCCACCACTCAACACTTATTATAGTACTGCTGTATTAGACTTCATTAATTTTAGCTAGTTGTACGTAATAAACTGAAAACCTTTGTAGTGATGATTATTATACCAAACATATCCGAGACCATGTTTTGAGGGGCTTTAAGCATCTCAAACTAAAAGTGAAAATGGAAAACTTTGATTGTTATCATGGACAATGTCTGTTGACACCGTTTTAGAAAGATGTTAATTCAACTTTTGAAAGGCTGTGGTTTGTGATGCTGATGAACTGCATTGTGTTTTGTCAAGCCAACAACATACAAGTTCAGGGAATTTCCATCAACTTCCTGGTGAGATTACCTTAGGAATTTTCAAACTGGATCACATTAAAAAAGAAAACACTTTGGCTGCTATTTGCATTGGCTGCAGATTGGTTGATAATATTTCAAAGTGTCATCACAGCTGTCATGAAAAAAACATGTGTCCAATAAAATTTGATGAATCTTAAGAAGACTATGCCAGGGAAGTTCAGAGGTGAAGTTAACAGTCTGAAGCATAGCCATGAACTAACCTTTCTGGCATCACGTATGGGTGACTGTTTGAGTGGACTGGCGGCTGTGGGTCGTAATGGGGTCTTCCCCTCATACGGCCTTCTCCTGGAAGAGAACGAGTGAGAGACAGAAACAGAAAGGAAAGTGTGGGAGGTTAAACTGCAGTATGTGTGGAGCCTGCTCATGTCCCTCTGTTTGCAAATGAATGTGCTTGCGTAGGCAGCCTGCCTCACTATTTAGAAAGATCAACATCTGGCATTGGTTGCATGGTTTATGGTCTGCATTTCATCCCATCTGAACAATAAATGTCTCTGCTATACATGAGTCCATTTCCATGCACAGCCCACAGGGCACCAGACTATGGCTTTTTACAATCTTTATATAACCACACACCTCAATCATTGTCCCTCATCATGTCCATTATGGTTTAAACAAGCTGTTTTACATGGGAACTGCTTATATTCATTTGTACACAAGTCTCTCATTCTCGCTTTGCTTTTTCTCACGCACACAAACACAAAAAGGCATAACTGAGCTCACTGCCTTACTAAGCACAGGCACACAAGACACTAATGGCCCTCTAATGCTAAATGAATAAAGACGTGAGAGAAGACATGAAAATGTGGGACAACAATGAAGAAAATAATTGCTGTCATCTAATAAAGACATCATCTTATGCTCTAGAAGGCACTGTTTCACACTTTCAGTTTGGAGCCTATGGGCCTTTTCTTCCCATGAAATTTTTTTTTATAGCATTCCTGTTTTGGAGAATTTTGAAACTTATTCGTCACAGGGAGTGTTATCTCATGGAAGAAAGCACTTTTGCTGTGAGGTTTTTGGAAAGACTGCTGAAAATAGAAAAGGATAGATCTGTGTAAGCACAGTGACCTTTATAATTTGGATCTTTTTAACTTAGGAAGCACACACAAACGCGCAACACCAACGCAATATTAATATATCGTGCAAACTGTGTTGACTGAGTAAATACTATTACAATTTATGTAGATGTTCTGCCTTGGTACTATTTGACAGTAATTATTAACAAATACAAGTCTGGCTCAATTATTGCTGTAGTCCTGAAATGTCTTTTTTATTTACAAAGATAGAAAATTGTAAGGATCGTTGTCTGAAACAGCTCTAGGCACTGTTTAAGACTGCTTTATTTAACTCTCAGTTGCATAATATTTGTCTTTTCTATAAAAGACTAATATCAGTGGAGCAGTGTGGGTTTATAAGCCGCTATGGAAATGGCATTCAGACTGTATGTTTGTATTTTGTCCATTTCTTTGGCTCTATAAATTATAGGTCTGCTGAGGGACTTTAATGTTCTTCGTCCTGATTTTTTTTATTGTGTTTGTATTGACTGCTGTGTGTGTGAGATGACCAAATGGTTGAGTTGTTGTACATCTGCATTTTATTCTCAAGGTTCTCTTGTAAAATTGATCCTGATCTCAATTAAACATCCTGATTTAAAGAAACATACCTGAACACAACTGTCTCTATCATGTAACAAAGTATTTAATTCATATATCTAAGTGCTTTTGGTAAAGCAACACCGGACATTTAGGGGACATAAAATATTATACCATAGGTCAGATTCTAGATAGAATCTCTTCATAAGCCCCAGAGTTTTAGATGCTTTAGTTTTAGTGAGAGCCAGATTTTTATTGAACAAGGTTTCTTGGCTGGTTTTTTCATGTTTAATTCATTTCAGGATTTGCAGTGGCCTGAAGAAATACAATATCTAGTGTTAAAACCACACCGAGTTCTGGAACCCTGTATAATAACATGTGATAACCACATTGTGCTTCTGTACATGTACAGCTGATGGCATGGGGCGGTGTATTGACCATCTGCATTACCAGGAGGTCTCTCAGTGATATGCCCTATACTGTAAATGTCAATAATGTTATAAATGCATGACTTGACCTGAGCAACATCAACGTGCTGATGCAATTGTTTTCACATCAATAACAATGGCAGCACAGCAAAATCTTGGTCTATAAACAGTACCTTTGGGGAACAGAAATCCATACACAATAAAAAATAAAAAGAAAACTATCACAGGCCAACACTGACTGCAAGAAGACTGCTAGGGATCTAATACTGGTTCATTCATTAATAATGATCAAAAATCTCAAGTACAACCCTACAGACTTCAGCTTTCCTCCTATTTCACATACTGAGTTGACTGTGCATGTGCACACACACCTACATGCACAATCACAAACACACACACAGCTATGAAACTTGGACAGGGGGCCCAAGCTTTGCAATCTTAGGCCTCTAAGTCAACAGGTGGATGAGGATAATTGAATCAGATGTGTCTGGAGTCTGAGGCCCCAAGATCAAAGCAGTGGCAAGTCAGGCCAGAGCCACACACACACACACACACACACACACACACACACACACACACACACACACACACACACACACACACACACACACGAAAAAATGAGAACACCACATAGAGCCTCAGAAGCTGTAGCTTGGCTGATTAAAGCAGCCTGACATCCATACCCCACCCTGACCTCCAGTGCCAGTCGGCCCAGGTCTTAGCCTCAGGCACCTCCAGGAAAGCAGTCTGACATTGGGACACAAACATCCCTCTGCCCCTGCACACCCTCCACCATAACCCAAAAGCACCTCGAGACAGGATCAGTGGAAGCACTGGGGCCTGTGAGTCAGATGTGAGGTGTCTACACCAACATCAGTGGCTAACTCAAGCAACTTCACATACAGTGTTACTGTCGCACTTGCCCAGAAAATAGAAGCAGGAGGGGAGAAAAGGGGGAGGGTTAAAGGTTTACATATGTGGGTGAAAAGCACACAGATGGAAGACAGAAGCCAGGGAGAGACAAGAGGAAAATGTGGAGAGAAAAATCAGAGAAAGGGGCCTAAAAGATATACTACAGAAGACAGATAGTAGAGACTGATACAAGGAGATTAAGAAAAAACCAGACACTCTTCAGCTAAGAGCAGTGAACCTGACCCCAGCACTGGTGTCAAAACCAACCCCCACAAACTATTTTCTCTGTCATGTCTTTTTTGTAATTGCTTTCCCTTGAACTTAAAGTGACATATGATAAGATGGATAAGACATGTAGCCTAATCACTAAAGCTGTTTTGTATGATCTCTTGACCCTCACTGACTGCCTATGCTTTCCCACAGTATTTCTCTGCATGAATAAGTGCTATAGACACGGCAGTGGCTCCACCTTGTGGCTAGATTAGGAACAACACAGCAATAGTTAAATGTGCTCAGGGCAGTTTGGATTAATGAGGGCTGGATGGCATGTTAAATAAGGCATGCAAACATATTACAGCACATCTACTTCTGTGTGAGACAGAAATGACTCCTCAAAATGTCAAAAATCATCCCAAATTCACCTTTAAATGCTGATACTTGAATTGGACCAAACGATTTCTTAAGCTAAACAGGGTCCTGTCCATCACCTGACTAATGGCGAGTGAGACAGAGATCAAACGTTGCCACATCACAGGGAGGAAGTCAAATGAGTTTCCTCCATTTAATCTTATCTACATGAGAGAGACACATAAAAGGCCTCTTGGCTAGGCTAATTTTCTCCATCAAGATGTTAGCCTGTGATACGAGTGTCATTCATGGTCTTATCCCAATCAGACACTGTGGTACTTAGCAATCTGCTCGTAATTGGGGGAGGCACACTGTGCTGAATCACTTGTAATAAGCTATAGCAACTACTGTGCAAAGAAATTCAGCTTGTGGTCATACAAACAGGTCAATACTGATGTAAAAATACCCCAAACTTTCATTACCCTTCATTTAAGATAACAGGATCCACTGACTGAGGAGCAAGTGATTAAATATACCTGCTGGTATTTTAAATGTAATTCATGTTATTTTTACAGACTTTTACAGAATTATTTATTTATTATTATGCATTATTTGTGAATATTTATTATTAATATCATAATAATGTTCAAAAGCCCTTTATGAATAGATTAAAATCAAGGACTGTGATGTCGCCCGGCATGGCGCTGTCGGGGCCCCACCCTGGAGCCAGGCCCGAGGTTG